TTGTGGTGGTGGAGATATTGATGGGGAAGGGGGGGGTGTGTTGTCGAGCCTCAGTCCCATTAAGGCAGCCGACCTCCGCTACCAAGTGAATTGCTAATATTGCTTGTTTAGCATTTTCTGAGGGTAATAGGCCCATTGATTTTTGGCTCTGCTCTGTTTTATTTACACAGAGGGGCTTTGGTGCACTCGTTAAAGAGAAATTGACTCATTGGAGGAGAGGACGGACAGGGAGGCAGAGAGGGGGGAGAAGGGGGAGAAGGGGGAGAGGAGGGATAAGGCGGGAGGATCGTATGAGGGATGTAGAGCATGGGACTGAGCTGCCAGAGGACAGCTAATCAATTGCAAATTAGCGAGGCTGAAAGGGAAATAAAGCAAGCGAAGGATTGGGAGAAAAAGGGAAGGAGGAGGGAGGAGAAAGTGGTGAAGGAAGGAAGTAATAAGACGTTTTGATACTGAAGACCGACAGTGTTTTCAACAAGGCCTGACAACTCATTTTACAGCGGCGGATAGGGAGACATTTGTTTCATTTTGAGGATTTTGGTCACGTAATGTCTTACTTCTAGAAAATGCAGTTAGAAACAAGATTAAAAGCTCACTGAAACCTCTGAATTACAAAAAATATGATTTAAATAACTTATTTACTGATATTTTACAAATGTAAAGTATTAAAAAACAGATTAAGATTTTACTTTAAATGTAACTTCTGAATGTACATGAGGGTGAAATTGTGGCGGATTGGAGGAGAATAAGGCGATGCATTTTTGAGGTTGGGCCTACCAGCACATATAAAGCACAACGATTACCTACATCTTTGTATCTTGTTCCCAAAATAAACCAAAGACAAGTTGCAGTTCTATGGATGTGACGGACAATTGTTGGCTTGGTGGTGTAGTGCCTTTTTTGACTGGTTATATTTATGTAGCTGTTAAAGATATACTGTTTAACATTTACACATCAAAATGTCTAAAAAACTAGACCCATATTATATTTATTGATTTGTGTACTTACATTATCCTGAATGTTTCCTATAGATTTCAAATCTAGATACATTTGTTATTATAATGAAGGTGCACAAAACCAGCTGCTAGAAGCTGTCATAAAATGTAATTTAAAAAGGAAATATTGGATCTTTTTAACTATATTTTAATCAGATGAATAATCTTTATTCATTGGACATCTGGATTTTAAGATATCAGATGAACAAGTTGAGCTAACTTTATCGGTTAGCTCCAGCTTCTCTGCCCTGTATCCGCCTGGAAAATAATTATTCTTCGACCTATAGACATGCAATTTGGACATTTGGCAACACATCGATATAAAGTAAAGTAATTAAAATCCAGAAATAACCCACTGGCACAATTATTTGCTTTTTTATTTATGTTGGCTAATTATATCAAGACTCAATGTTTTATTTGTTACAGTTAATTAAGACTCCATGACTGACCCTCATGGTAGGGGGAAGAGAGGGTTTATTTTAAACCTTAATAAGGTTAATAAATACTGCATAATCTTCATTAAGCACTCATTCTGAAGCTTACATTGTCTGTATAGCATCCTTTGTTTTTTCCTCTCCGTTCTTACCTACCTATGAAGTGGTGTCTTTCACACACCCACTCACAGGCAGTCACAAAGGAGTTCAGCATTTATATGGTGGGGTCCATTAGGGTGTATTAGCTGGTGGTGAAAAGTCGTGCTGATGGTGTGCTTACAAAGATCCACAGGGGAGATGGACATTTGATCTTCTATCTGACCCAGTCTGATTCAAGGCTCCTGGCTGATCTAATTTCTTTGTTGTTAGGAGTTAAAGGGAGAGTATTTGAGCTGTTGTTTCCTTTCTTTTGGGAAACATGTTTGGTGATCAGTTGTTATTGCTGGGATCTTATGCTGTCATCACAAAGAGAGTACCGTAGTCCAAGAAGCTAAAAGATAGCAAGTAGGTGCTCTCAGGTAAACAATGAAAGCATATTCAGTGGCGAGCTCTGTAGTAGCCCTATTTTTCTCACCTCAAAAGGCAGATCACACCATTTATTGCATGTCGTTGATCTGATCACAAGGGGCAAACCACAAAATAAGAAGCTTGATGTTGTACAGTTGCTCACTGGCTTTTCTCTTTTTTAACTGAAGGAGCATTTTCTCCAGCAACTCACACAGAGGGTCGCAGAAATTCAGCGCACATGACCTGGCCTTTGAGGTTACCAGGCTTTATGTGACCACACAGTCCTTTAATCTAGCAATAAGCTCCATGAATCAAACAGAGTTTGAGTCCTAACCTTAGAGGACTCTCTGGCACGTCGTTTCTTGTTATTTATTCACTGTGGAGACGGTGACAGGTACAGGTCGAAGTCGAGGTATGCTCGCTGAAGGAAAAAAAATCTCTAGGTTTAAAAAACCAGGACTACTTTTGTTTTCTCTCCTTGGTCTCTGTAGTGTGAACAGACATGTAGGCTGCACAGGCTGACATCTCCTGCACTCTGTCCGACATTCACCATTGTCTGCCATTGATGTAAAATGTCACCTGAAATTGGTTGTGTTGCCTCGTAGAAAAGCATCTCCATTTCCTTGTCTGCTCCAGTGCTTTTGTGTCTTTGTCCGTGCCAAAACCTCAGGGCCAATTCTTCAAAACGAATCGATTGGAGGTTCAGCGTATAGTTGTAATGGAGATCCGTATCTTTACATTACAGCTTTAGAGTCGTTATTTTTACACAGTGTGTGTATATCTGACAGTCTTTCAAAAGTATGTTGTGGTTTGAAGTAATTCATTTGTGCAACTGATGATTTTTGTAATATAAAGTAACTTTTTAACATCTGTTTTAATTGATCAAATGATGACTTGTTCCTTAACAAAAGTAAAGAATCATAAAATAAATAGAAAATATTAGATTAGATTAAATCATATCGTTACAATAATAAGTAATCTAGCATTGGATTTTCTGTTGATTGTTTCAGCTCAAATTTAAATCACTACAAAATCCATGCAATTGTATTGTATGATGTGCTGTTATAATAACTTGGTAGATAATTACCAGATACAAATGTCTTTAAACAGAGAGCAGGAAGTTTGCATTACTTTATGTCAAAGTTAAGTAGTTTGGTGTAGTACAGTTTAAATACACAATGTAAAATGTCAATATTACATCAAGGCAATAACCAAATGAAATGAAACCCCACCCCGTCTTCCTCCTCACTTCCTGTCAGCTTTATCATAGGGGTATACATTGCCCCCAAATACTTGTGCTACAGAGCCATCTTTGGGAGTATGATATGTTGCAGCAAAGTGTCCAAGCAGATATGGCAACATCTCCCCCAACCGATTCTCACCTCTAGCTGTCTACCGTCCGTTCACTGTGTCCTTCAACAGTCATAGAGGAAGCAGTGTTTTCATTCACTTGTTAGGGTGCAAATACAGAGCATGGCCTTATTTGCCCTCAACACATCACACTGGATACCCCTGAGCAAGGCACTAAACCCCAACCAACTAATAAACAGTCAAGTTTCCCAGAGACTAATATGTACCGGGCAGCTCCCCGGTGTGTATGAATGTGAAGCAGAACCAAGCTGAAAAAGGGCATGTGTGCACAGCAAGTCTTCACAGGATAAACTTTAGATATAAAATGAAAATGTCAGTGTTTTAGGTTGTGTGTGGCAGAGTGAGTTGCTGTGTTAATCACAGGTAAGTTGGACTCCCTGGAGTTACCAAACTGCCTGAAAAATGGTTCCCTAAGTCTACTGATAGCTGGTGCTCAGACATCCTGTGGTCATGTGTCTTACAATATATATGTTTGACATGTATTGCCTCTTAAGTGTTGTCTGCCAATCACTCACTTATAAAAGCACAACAGCAGACCAAACGGAATTCCTGAGATGTTTAAGAGTATTACTATTTTCTGACCAGTATTTGTCCATAAGTGAATCATCAACATTGAATGAACTAACTCACTAGAATCTCTTCAGTAAATGACCACTCAAATCTGTGGAAATGACTGCAAATGTACGCAGAGTGGAAAAGGATCAGCATGAAGCTGTGTTATTCCCCTCATGTTTGTTTTTACCGTCTGTCTGCTGTCTGGTTATGGTGAACATCGGTGCACTTCTTCTAGCTACTCATCTATTCTGAAGCATACTCTTAAATGGCAAAACCTTTGCAGGGCTGCTGCTTCTTTGCCAGAGCACACATCTTATACCTGAATAAAAATCAGTACAACTATCAGCCCTGGACTGCTGATCTGTGCTTAAGTATTAATCCTAATATGTTAGAATAAACGGTATTTAAACTGTACTGTAAAAGTGCAGGTGGAGTGATTCAATAATTTAGGTCCTCTTCACTTGCATTTTCAAAGGATCTATCTGGAAGCTATAGATCTCTAGTGTACAGGTTTTGCTTTGTTTCCTGTTTCTGACCTTCTCACCTGTCTTGAATTTTTCTTGTACGCTTTTCAATACTGTTGCCAACATGTAAGCCTGTTCATGTCCTTGGCCTTCAGGAAATTATCCTTGGTCCTAGCTTGCCTTAGGAGTATTTTCTGCATTTGAGTCACTTTGAGTCACTGACACAGGGTCTTATAACTTGTGCTTTTCGTGGTTTTAGTAGCTACCGTCATCTATAATTCCATTCCCCCGATTGTAGCGATCAACATACGAAAAGGGTTAGCGACACGGGACAATGGGTGGAATTATTGCATTTTTTTTTCAAACCCCCTTTTTCTGCCACTGCGTCAATTAAACTCTGAAATTGGCAGTCAAATCAAGCTCGTAAGATACAATAGTCGCCTATTTGGGGGTCACCCCTAGAACAAACTGCTGTTGGCTCTGGAAGTCATAATATTTAAAAAAAAATCAGTATTACAGGAGTGACCGAGAGTTCTCCAACCATTGTGCTTACGTGACCTCTTGAGGATATACTGTAAATTATAGTTTTAGTCTTACAAAAAAAAGAAATGGTGTTTATCCTTGTGTTCCATTTAGTGTGTGGTTGAGTGCAAGTCTGTGTCTCCTTTTGTGTTTGTGTTTGGATTAGAGTTGCACTACTAGCACTCCCTTTGGGACAGTGGATCAGGCAATTTCCTGTAAAAAGACATACCTACCTGATGTGGAGTGAGAGAGAGTGCTGTATAATCTTTAAAAGCCAACCCTTGGGTTTAGTAAAAACATCTGATGAATACAGAGAAGGCTGTGGAGGTGTGCACCTGCCAGTGCGCACATGGTTGTGTTTTTGTGTAGCATCCTGGTGCAGTGAGGTGTGTGCGTCTGTCTGAAGGGTTTGTATCCATGTGAGGTTTGCTTTCATGGCCTCCGGGGGCTTCTGTTACTGCTGATACCAGAGCAAAGTTCACCTCTGTCAAGGTTATACACATGAAAGAAGCCCTTGACAGGATACTACCGCATTGGACTTGGAGACATAATCATATTTCATTATGGCTTTTTTCAGTAGATTGGTCTTAATTTAGCTGATTAAAACAAATCAACAAAAAAGGTCATAAAGAGTTACTAACTCCCTCGTTGGATGACATGTAACAACCTTCTTTTTTGGTCAGTGTGAATAATTTCCCTTTGTTCAGGCTTCTTGGCAGAACATCTGCTTTACTTTTAACATTGAATAATAAAGTTTCTGAGAGCACTTTCTGTGACGCTTGTTTTTTTCTGTTTTGGTGACATTGGTGCTAAGTGCTCATTACCGTGCTGCCTGTGCACTGCACTTTCCAGAGATCATCTTTGAAACACACAGTGTGGGTGGTACTTTGATGTCTTTTATCTTGCAGTTTTCTGCACATGAAGTTTGAGTTTCTGGTGTTTTTTCTCTTTTCATGGCCTTTGCTACGCAGACTTCCAATCACAGTTCATGTGTTTATTAAATGCTTAATTTAAAAGAGCCCATGTGGAGTTTTTGTAAACAAACTAAAGTTATGTTTACATTCGGTGCTACTCATTACAACCAATTGTGTGTATCCTCAAGGTAAAACGAATGTATGGATTGTATATCCTTCCTCATTTAGTCTCGGTAGGCCTCAGTTCCTGTGAGACAAAAGATTTTCCTTGGAAAAAACCCGCCAGACATGATGTTTCTAACACCCAACGTAAAAGCTTTCAACAACTGAGAATTCATCAAATTGTTTCACATGAGCTGGCTATCATGTAAAGAAAACCAATGTGAGCTATTACTATAATGTTTAATTCATGTGAAGAAGACAACGCCTCCTTGTCTGAAGTTGAAAATGATTGTGTTGTGTGTGCCCACCTCTCTGTCTTGCAGGCGGAGATCGTCAAGCGGCTGAACGCAATCTGCGCCCAAGTCATCCCCTTCCTCTCTCAAGAGGTAAGACTTAAAACATGCCTGTCGCTGTGAGTTATGACAGAGGTGGGTGAGAGAGAGAGCTGAGACACACACACACACACACACACACACACACACACACACACACACACACACACACACACACACACACACACACACACACACACACACACACACACACAGATTATCCTAGGCTAATCCTCCCTGCTCGGGATAGGCTGATATGCTCTGAATTTATTAAATGTCTCCCACTAACATATGCAGGAGCCAGCGGCTTAGAGTGTGTGCGAGAACAATCTTTTGTGTTTAAGCTTATTTGGTTTAGTGTGTGTGTCCACCTGCATGCACATAAAGTACACTGTGTGCTTGTACAGAAGTGGGAGTCAGAGGTGTTTTTAATAAAGTATGTTTATTATGGAATATTTTGGTGTGTGTCCTGGTTCTAAAGGACTGTGTGTGTGTGTGTGTGTGTGTGTGTGTGTGTGTGTGTGTGTGTGTGTGTGTGTGTGTGTGTGTGTGTGTGTGTGTGTGTGTGTGTGTGTGTTTTGAGGTGTGGGAACAGCGGGAAGGAGTGAGTGTGGACTCCAAAACTCTCCTCCAGATTAGCCATGGATTAGGAGGGTTTAGGGTGGATTAGGAATAATGGCATTAGACTGCGGTGCTGCTACACAGCCCTGAGGCCCGCAGAGAGGG